TGATCCTTCTGCCTCAAAGTCCTAGAAAGCTGGGATCACAGGCACATGCAGCATGACACCTGGCTTGGATAAGTGCTTTACATTTTAGAGGTAAATGGAAGAAGAGCAATAAAATCGACCAACGAGGTGATGTGCACTGTGCAGGATAAAGGAGATTATGGCCTTGCCTTAGGCTGACAGAAGAATGCTTCGGAAAGGAATTGGGGGAATTAGAGAAGGGATGAAATTATTGATGACACAAGGAGACTGGCACTCTACAAAAAGAAAAGGATACAAACATACTAAGTGTATAACAAGGAACAGCTGCAAGCTTTGAGATGTACCACCATCTCATAAGGCCACAGCCAACACTCCTTTCTGATGCTGTGCCTCCAACCGAGGAAACCTCTGGCCGATCTCGCCATGAGCCACACTTTATATTCAAACACCACCTGTTACAAAAAGCAAACATGCCTGAGAACACTGTTTCCCATAAACAAAAGTCACTGAGTTTAATACGGCTGTCTTCCAGCTTCCGTGCTACTGTGGACACTGACAGTTTACCCTTAGACAGACAGCCAGACAGAGGAGGGCAGCCCCTCTGCTCCAGTGACTTGATGACATGTATTTATGTTTTATTCTGGCTATTAACTCTAAAATCTGCCCATAAGGAGACATTCAGGAATGAAACAAAGCTTGTCATTTGTGTGACTTAATTTATAAGCCACTCTTATCAAACTCAAAACGCAATTCTGAGGGCTATAGGGTCCTAAAAAACAGAGCTAACAATGCTGAAGTGTGAAATTACCACGTTTTTCGACATGCTTTTAAATGTTTTATCCTTTCAATGACTTAGTAATCTACAGTTGCATTTCAGATGAGAAAATAAAACCCTCATCTGTGAACTAACTTCAAGGTCACACCGAGAATCTCGGGGTAGAAAAGGGTTTACCCCAATGATGGACACTTTTTGTTCTAGCTCACAAGAATAAACCTATATATTTGCAGCTGTTTGGTAAACATAACCATCGCTAAAATTTGAATGATATAAACATATGGCTATTGAAATTATTTTTGAGAGTTTTAGATATAATCAAAACTCTGCTTTGCTTCTTCAGGGCTGTGTTATTATCTATGCTTTCGAACTCATATGCATTTTATCAATTTATGGAACTATCCGATGAGGTGGGTGTGTTCCTGCCTGCACCTCTCTTTCTAACTCTGCTTTTGGCAATAACAGCTTGGAACCACTGCTTACAGTCGGCCATAGTAGACAGAGAATCTGTGCCGCAGAAATTGATAAGCACTGAACATCAGGGATTTTTACTCTCTAAGAGCTGGTCGTTAATGGTTTCCCAGGACACCACTGGATTTGCACACAAGGCTGGGATTATAATGCTGCATCCGCCTTGCAGGGGTTGAGAACACTGCACTAGGGATCACTCTGCCCTGGTCCTGAGCTGTGCCACACACAGTGCTGTGTAAAGCTTTACAGGCCGCAGAGCAGGCCGAGCTCCGAGCACAGCACTGGCGATGCTGGGACAGACTGGGAAGAAGTGGCTTTGCTCTTGGTCCTCAAAGAGAAGCTGGAGTGACAGATGTGAAGCTGTTTGCGGGAAGCAGAGTAGAGGGAGACCAGGACTGTCAGACAGAGGGGGATAAACAACAGGTGCAGAGGCAGGCAGGGGGGAGTTTAAATTGGGGGAACCCAAAGCCTTCTAGGGAGGGTAAAGAGAGGAGCAGGGGTCCTGTGATGGCCTGAATGGTTCCATTGGATGGATAAAGATTTTGATCAGGGAACAACAGGGTCAGAGCCTTGAGTGAGACTGAAAGTCAGGAGGGACGCTCCTTTAGCAACCATTTCTAATGCTGCAGAAGAAAGTCAACAAGATTCCAAAGTCTGTGGTTGTGGTGGAAACCAGGAGCAACAAGAGACTTCCTTAGGAGTGTTTGGTGACTACTGAGTCGTGCAGAAGCAGAAAAGCAGGCGGAAGAGGACTCTGGAATGAGCGTCTGGGAAATTTAAACCATAGCCCATCAACCTTTCTATCATGCAGAAACCTGTGTTAGTGGTTGGAAGGGTCCCACACAGCAGCCCCAGGCACGAGCCCGTGATCTGGAACAGCCAGCATCATCCACGAGTGGCAGAAAGTTAGCACCAGACCCCTCAAAATCCACGCTTTCACAATGGGAGCGCTATCAGGGGCTGATTAACATTACACTTGTTTGTTTCCATTTATTTTCTTTTTGATGCATCCTAACTCCTTTGGACTCTCTCAAGAATCTCCCATTTTCTTTGTTCCATCAATATTTGTATAGAAAGGATGCACTGAAAAGCAACGTTCTGAGAAAATGCCCATTTTAATTTAGTGCCACTATAGGAAATTGGGCCATTTTGTACTGATTCTGAAAGCCTGCCCAGGAACCTGTACTGGCAGTGTAACCATCTCACATTTAGCATGCTGACATGCAACATGTTAATTTATTTCTCCTCTGGAGCTTAGGTTTGGAATCACAGAACCTGGACTTGTCACCACTCTGCAAATTTCTTATTTTCCTATGTTGGACAAACAAGAGTTGCACTACATAGAAACTGAATGCATTCATCTTAAAAGAGAAGATGGTACAAATTCCTACTTTCCAGCATTTTGTTAAGCAGATAAAGAAATTTCTTTTGCCTTTTAAATCATTTTATTGTTATCAGCATAGGTTTGTAGTGTGTAGTGTTTACATTCCTCGTGAGGAGCTGGCACATCTACATAATATATGGTATTATTTTACGTATACAAAATGTTTTGTGTATTTTCCTGTTATATAAAAGTGGCAGATATGCATAATTTCCCTGGGAGACAGTGATGTGGTTGAAATGTATTTTTAAGTTAGGCTAACACGCGTGAGAACATGTGAGCTATCCATCTAGGTAACTTTCCAACACCCTGCCAGACATTCCAAGCCTGCATTCTGAGACATTCTTCTAGGGTTCCACGAGCTGAGCTGGAGTGCCATGAGGTTTACCTGGGCAATGGTACAGTCATGCTGCTTTGCACTTAACTATTTTCACGATGAATTCCGTCTTTAGAAGCGACATTTCTCCTTCTGCTTTGACTTCCGGGACTCTTTGCACTTCCGGTGCTCTTTGCACTTCCAGGGATCCGCCCCGGAGCTCCCGGAGGGCAGGCCCAGAGCTGCTCTCGCAGCCACGCCCTCCTTCGAGCTGGGAGCACGTGGCTTGTTGGCACAAGCTGGGATTCATTTAGGATCAAAGTTGCCACTCCATCTGCCTCCCCCCGGGGTCCAGTAGGGCTTGGTAGCTTTTTGTGAGTTCCTTGCTATACGTTTCGTTCAGCATCTGCCCTGTCGGGGAGGTGCTGGTTTGTTGTCCACCTGACTACAGAGCAGTTGATGTTATTTCCTTACCGTGTTTTTGAAATCGAGGGGTGGAGCTACCCTGAGATAGGAAGACCCCCCTCCACCAACTGCGGATCTTCCTCCCCTTTCTGGAACACGCGTTTTGAAATATGGCTGGTGTCTTTGTTACAATTTCTGTTATTGTGAAGCTGCAGTTTAACTGCTAATATATTTTCTTGAGGCAAGCAATTGCCAAGCAACGGAGAGCATAAAGGGAAATTTGTTCTATGTAAATGAGGGACTTAATGCATTAATTAGATGGATTGGAACATTGTATTTCCATGTGTTTTGTGGTTTAATTCTCAAGCTGAGGCTTGGCACCATGGGAGGGGGAGCCGGGATGAAGCTCCAAGTGGATTTTGGAACCAGAATGTTGGAGTTTGAAAAGCCGTGTGGTCATGGTAGGAGCCAACTGAAGTAGGACAGAGTGATGGATTCTTTGCAAACCACGTTGTTATGTGGTAATGGGACAGCATCAGAGTTCCGAAGTGCTGTTTGGTAGACATGGTTTCTAATAAATGAAAACTGTATTTTCACTTTCTGCCCTGCTAGGATGATCCAACACCCCTTTCCCCCCTTCCCTGTCACAGGGAAGCCCAGAGTCAAAAGAATTTAATCAAAGCTGGCATACTGAAGCTGGCTTGGCGCCTTCTGGAGAGCAAAGACAGCAGCCAGTGACAGCCCCCCAAGTGTGTCTTGTCACACAGCCAGGCCTCCTCAGGGCAAGAAAGAGCTCAGGCCATTACTGGTGGAGGAAGCCGGGCAGGCCAAGAGGCCTTCCGAAATGCAAAGCCAAGCTCATGGTAATAGGAGACACATCATCTGTGATGTTCATTTTTTCTTCCACGGTTTACTCAAAAAGTTTATTGAACAACTATGCTGTGGTAGGTGCAAGGGATGCAATGGAAACCCATGGTTGGGAGGCGCAGCATCCAAAACCACAGAACATCACTGTCACGTGCATAGTTACACAGTGCTGACGCTGCTTTCAAGGAAACCAATGCAGTTGCATGAGGGATTTATGACGGTGGAAGCTGGCAGAGGCCAGGGGAGAGTGATCCGAGAACAGGATCAGAAACAGAAAGAAAGCATTAGGTGATGTTCACAAGGAAGAAGCTAATGTTTGTCTTTCTTTTGTTTTTAGCTTGAGCTCATGGCAGAGGGATACCAAAGTATTTACAGCGTATCTGAAGTTAAGTTAGTGATGTTGGAGTTGAGAAGATGAGATGCGGAAGAGATACTTCCCAGACATCTGGTCACGGACTTGAGTCTTCACCCACAGAACAGGGGAAACCTCATCTTTTATGTAGAAACGGACAGCATAAGTTTGGGGACCGAGCTCTGGTCTCTAGGAAAACGCAGGACTTACCTGAAAGTGTGCTGATCTGTTGGTGTGCACGTCATTTATACACGATTTCCTATGGGGAGAGGGGGCTGGTTGAAGTTGAATTTCCACCACATAATGAAACCTGTGGGTGTAGCTGTGTTCCTGGTCACCCGGACTCGGCCCGGGGGCTGCTCACTCCACTCTGTGCTCCCCACCGCTCACCACACCGGCCAGTGGCACCTGCGGTGTGTCGCCCACCTGCAGCTCTCTTTGTCACTACACTTACTTCCTCTTTGGGGCCATCCTGAGGATCTTTATTCCAGTGTCCGCTCTTCTGTTGGGCAGGGTTTCCTTCCTGTGGAAGTGACGCGTTACTCAGCTCTATGCTGACAGCACGATGACAACTCATGTGGGAAGCAGGTATTTTGGCACAGGGCCACTTCGAAAGCCAGAACATCAAAGTCCTTTCCCTCCCTCCTTTCCCTTCCCCTTCTCCTTTTCTCTTACCGTGTCTTTCGACAGACGCCCTGACATCACTGGACCTCTCCTTGTCCTTGATGCTCACGTCCCTGGCTGTCCAGCACGGCGCCCTCCCCACCCCACACCATGTCCTCACTCTCAGACTGACTTCCTCTCCATCCCTGGAAACAGATCTTGTTCTCCGCGTCTCCTGGATAAGATTCACCATGGCTCATAGCCTGTTTCGGTTTTGCAAACTTCAATATGCAGCCGTGCAGATCTCTGGCACCTCCGTCTGCCACTGGTTTCTCAGATCCCCTGCTCTCCACTGCGACCCTGTACCCTCTCCCCGCCTGGAGGGACTGCCTCGCTGGGCCTGTCTCTGTCCCTTTCCCAGAAAGCCCTGTTCATTCCTCCTTGCCTGCCCACACCCTCCTTTCTCTGACCCAAACACTGTGGTCCCTGGGGCTAGGGGGCTCTCACCAGCTTCCAGGAATGCTGTTTCCGCTCCTCCCGCTCCTCCGTGCTGTCCCCTGACAGGGACGCTGTCCAGGAGCATGCCACGATGTTGCAGATCTGCATCTCCTCAGAGCACCACCCCTGCCTCTTAAAGCTTAACCCTTCTTAAAATAAAGCAAAGCCCATCTAGAAAATATTTAGCAAAATAATAAATAATTGATGTCAGCACAGAAAGATGCGCTGCATACAGTCAAGTTATTTCAGAGCCCATTGTGGCCTTAGACTATCTCTGAGAAAATGCTCTTCTGCCCCAATCTGAGGAAAGTACCAATAGCCCCATTGCACGCTTGGAAGAAGAACCTGAAATTTTGTTAATATGAAACCTGACAGGCTGTCTTCTCAAGTTGCTTTTTTTTTTTTTTTTTTTTTTTGCTTTTACACTCTTTCTACAATTCTTTCCAGGTCACAGGATGTGGTAATACTAATAATGCTGGATGAAGCACCCCAATAAAGGCCCCCCCTTCTCATGATAGTGTTTATATTATTACAAGGGGCTCTGTAAAGAAGAACCATTAGTGTTGGGATATACTGCACTTTGCGCCTGTGTGCATTGTTCTTTGGTGAACTGATTTCCTTTATCCAAAATGCAGAATTAGAGGTGTCATCCATGACTACTTAATTCTGCTATTTTTGGTTTAGAGAAAAGCTTTTCCCAGAAGGGTATCATATTATTATTTGTATCATTAGCTAATAGAAACCTTTATCGCATAGAAAGTATGTTATTAAATTAAGACCGCATTTGGCAAATCAGCCATGCTGAGTAGTCCAGTGCTGGCTGCTGTGGGAGCCAAAGCATCCTGAAGATGTGGGAGACTCCAGGTGGCGGCTTCTGGTCCCCTCACCTTCCTGGGCCACCACCAGCTGGCAGGTTGGTTGGACAACACATATCCATGCTCTCTCCTCCTGAAACACCGCCCTAGAATTATGCCTTGTTGCACCAGCAAGTGACTGTCTGTTAACAAACTACATGCAATTTCTAGTCTTAACTCCAATGACCATTTGTCAGTAATGTCTGTGTGTAATTAAAACTGTCTGAATGATCTGCAATACTGTTCAAGAAGCTTGTAAACAAACAAACAAAAAGAATATTTTAGTCCATTACAACTGTTTTCCATATTAACATTTCGACTGTTAAGGATCTCCTTTGCATCCTTAACATTTTTTAGGTGAGTACAGAACTGTGAACATGGTTCATGCAATAAAATTCAACGCTGTGTCACGTGAATATTGAAATTTCACTACGAGTGACATGTATCATTGTCAGCACGATGGCCTGGTGAATTGGGAGGAAGGACTGCTGCTTGTCCACGCCGCTGAATCCCATGGCATACCTTCCTTCACAGAGCCATCCTTTTGATCAGGGGCATGGCTCATCTGTACACTTAAATAAAATACCCACCCGCCTCAAGTAAGTGATGCTGGAGAAAAGAATACTGTGCTGTTCTTGGGAATATTGGTGTGCAGAGATTAAAAGCAGAGTTGAGACCAGGACTTCAGAAAAGTGACATTGGGAGCTTTTAATGCCAGTTCCGTTCTCCGTGGCACTGGGGTGTAATGTTGCCAATTGCAAGTTTGATAATGGACCTAAAGCTTTGTTCCTCCAAATCTGCCGCTGTTGTTTTGAAACAATGCCAGAAACCAGTCTCTTCAGTGAATGAATGAATGACGAGATAAATAAACTGTTGTTTTGCTGGCGGTTAAAAAGAAATAAAACATTGACGTTTTTTACTGGGCTATGCTGCTGTCATCCAGGCAGAATGTGAAGGTCAGGTTTGTGGGGTTTGGGTGAAGAGAAAGGAATGCAGAACAGCAGCACGTGTTTACGTCACCCCAGTCACATTTCCCCCAATCCAAATTCACGCTCCCTTCCTCGCAGTGAAGGACGCAGCTGGTCCTATGCAGGGTCAGACAGTCTGGCTGTAGTGGATCTGTTGCTTTGCAGGTTAGAAATGCAGACAATTTGTAATGTGCTTTTAATTGAATGTGTGCTGGTTCTTGTTTCCCTTGTATGGTATTTCTCTTTGCAGGATTTTAAACTCTGAAGAGCTAATTCATTAAAATTAAAGGATATTCCTCCAGTAGATTCTTAAGGACAATTTGAAAGGTGTAACTAGAACAGGCGTATGTGCTGGGGCTCTTCTTCCCCAGAATCAATGTGTGAGCATGATTCATCATAAATATAATTATTTTCTCTCAGAAATAAAAGCAGAGGTATCTGAAATAGCTGCTTTAAAGGGTGATTGTTAAAAATGTTTCCTAGACTTCCTCCAGCCCTGGGCATGATAAACTTGGGCCGAGGCCTGGGAATCTGCATTTTAATTTAAATTCTCCAACAGAAAATGGTATGCATCAAAGTTCAGGAATGCTAGTTTGACTCCGACTGAGAGCTCGATATCAAAGAACTCCCAGGAAATGGTGTCCCCATTTAAAAGTGGCCCAAATGACTAAGGAGTGAACAGGCTCCCTCACAAAATTCGGTTTTCACCTACAGTAACGTCTGGCTATTTCTGGAAGTCTCAGCAAGCACTCTGGACAGATGCCCACAGGCAGCCAGTGGACACAGCCCCCATGGGTACTGCCCTGTCAGTCCCCTTCCTTTGCTGCTCCGTTGCTGGCTCTGCTTTGCCTGCCCCACCCTTGGGAGGGGCCCTTCTGGCACTGTCCATCACCGATGTTCCAAAGTTCAAGGCAGGGTGTGTCCAAGGTTCCCACTCTCTGGGTGCTGATTTCTACACAGAAACCCAGGAGTCGCTTCCTTCTGGTCTCAGAGCCAGAATCAGTACCTCAGACTTAGGAGCTGTTTGCTGTGTCACTAAGTGGCCAAGAGTCCTTGTCCCTTCCCCAGCACTGGGGCTTAAACCCTGACAGGGGCTGACAGTGTGGGAGAAACTCTTCCAGTTTCTTTATCTGATTTTCCTTCTTTTACTTTTCTTTCAGTTTCTACTTTGATCAACGTTCCTCCTTATTCATCACATGCAGATTAAAAACAACAAAAATCCTCTTTTTTTTTGCATGTGAATAGAGCACTGTGTGTGTGTGTGTGTGTATGTTACAAATAGATTGCAATTGGTACCTTAAAAAGAAAGTGAAGGACAGGTACTTTGGGTACCATGTGATTGGTGGTGGATCTTCCATTTTGAAGGCCCCATAGGTGTCTGGTGCCTTCTGTCAAAACATACTGAGAAAGTAATGCAGAGTGCGCATGGGTTATTACTCAACATTATCACTCAGCATTATCTAGGAGCACAGAAAAATGTATGTGTGGCCATGAAGGGAACATGAGCATACAAAACAGAGACTAAAACAGAGATTAGGAGGAAGTTACAAAGGTCCATCATAAAAAATCAAGGGTGTAACGTTAAATATTTACAGACTGTCCCCACCTCTTACAGAATCATCCCTGATAGGTTGGGTTTGCCAATTTCTGACACATAGATAGTCTTGCCATGGTTGATTTAATCTACCAACGTGACTTCAGTTGGCTTGCAAAATTTAGGACCATTAGCAGTAGGTTCTTGGCAGCTAGCAGGAGCGTAACAGTGTTTGGAGAAAAGTTCAGAAGGGACGGAAGTAAATGTTCATGTCCAGTATTCCAGACACAGAGACAGTTGGCTCATTTCCCAAGGCCTGTGGGGCCAAAGTGGAGGGAATGCTGTAAGCCTGTGTGCAGTGAGGTCTCACTGGGGTAGCACTGCCTCCTAGCGGATTCCCTTCCAGGGAAATTCCTGGGGCAAGTTTTGTTGTCACAGTGAAGTGGGGATTGGAATGATTGTTGGATGACCGCTGAGGATATGAGGTATCCTGCAAACGTTGGATCTGTGCTGTACAATAAAAACTTGTCCTGAGGTTTGCAGAAATTTCTGAAAACAAGAACGCAGTAATCAGCCTTGAAAATTAGAGATCAAAAGTGCCAACCCAATGGTTGTAACACTCCTTCACCTGCAGTCACTATTCTCTTGCTCACAGATTACTCCAGCTGCAACCAGAATCATGGAAAGAGTTAAACTCGTGAACTGAGGCACGTACTGGTAGCAGGTGACATTTGTAACCGCTGCAGCCACCTTGCCTTGCTTCTGGGTGGAGTGTCAACACTTGAATTTTTAAGTCATCTAGACTGAGCCTTTAAATTAGAAGCGTACTACTTTATTATTATCATTTTTGGTATTTATTTATAGTACATTTATTGGTACATTTTAGGTATGCAATACAGGTACATCAATCTTTGGGACTTTTATATGACTTTAACGCCCTCCCTTCATCCCCTCCATCTTTCTGGGTTTCCAAAGACTTTGTTTCCATGTTTTTTCTTTTCTTATTTTTTTTTTCTTTTCCCTTTTTTCCCTTTCCCCTACCCCTCCCACCTCCTCTACTCTTTTTGACCTTTTTTTTCCTATTACAAAATATCAATTATGCATTTTGATCCTTACTTACACTTTCAATTTTTCACAGCAGAGAAACTATTTGGTATTTACGTATGTGTGTCTTATTAATTTCACTTAAGAGTATGGCCTCAGTGTGCATCCACTTAGCTATAAATGTCTATAGTTTCTCACTCTTTGTTGCTGAATAGTACTATATTTTATAAAAAAAAAACAAAAACAAAAACTTCTTTATGCAGTCTCTGGTTGATGGGCAACTGCGCTGTTTCCAAATTTTAGATATTATAAACTGTGCCACTATAAACATGGGTGAGCATACATTACTGTGGTATGATTCTTTTAATTCTTTTGGGAAGATACCCAGTAGAAGAATTTCTGGGTCAAATGGGACTTCTACTCCTAGTTGTTTAATGTATCTCCATACTGATTTCCATAGTGGTTGCACCCATCTGCACTCCCACCAACAATGGAGAAGGCTTCCTTTCTCCCCACAACCCCACCAACATTTGTTATTGGTTGATTTCGTGATAGCAGCCATTCTTTCTGGGGTGAGGTGGAATCTCAGTGTTGTTTTCATCTGCATCGCTTGAATGATAAGTGCTGTTTCCATTTTTTCATATGTTTATTTGCTGCTTTT